TCTTCAATTCAGAAATTTTTATGGTATCATAGCCATATTCCCTGAACTGATCATCCCTCTCCAGCCTATTCTCTCAATTTTTTCCTCGCTCTATTCATCTTTTTTTCCTTCTTTCATCACTGTCATCTCGTGATCATTCTCTATGACAAAATATGGTATGACAATCGAACGAGAAAGCTCCAAGTCCAATCAGGAAATTCCAGTGCCAAGTCCAATCAGGAAATTCCAGTGACTGGAAACAGTGGAGATAGCAGCAGTGTTATTCCACACAAGTCACAAGCTGAATGGGCACAATTTCTTGCAGTGGTCTCAATCCGTTCTCATGTTTGTTCGAGGAAAAGGCAAGGATGATCATTTCACAGGTCTCTCGGCCTCACCAGGAGAGAAAGACCCCAAATATAGATCATGGAAAGCCGAGGACAGCATGATTATGTCCTGGTTGATCAATTCCATGATCAATGATATAGGGGAAAATTTCCTTCTATATGGTACTGCCAAGGAGATTTGGGATGCTGCAAAAGAAACTTACTCCAGTAATGAAAATACCGCCGAATTGTTTGGTGTGGAGACGATCCTTCATGATCTCCGACAAGGCGAATCTTGTGTTACCCAATACTATAATAATATAACTCGTTATTGGCAGCAGTTAGATATGTTTGACGAGCACACTTGGGAAAGTCCAAATGATGGAATTCAGTATAGGCGGATCATTGAGAAAAAAATGGGTGTTCAAGTTTCTAATGGGACTTAACAAAGATTTGGATGAGGTACGTGGAAGGATTTTGGGCACAAAGCCTCTACCAAGTCTAAGAGAAGCCTTCTCGGAGGTGAGAAGAAAGCCGAAAAAAGGTGATGTTGGGAACTCCAAACAATCAGCCCACCACGGAAGGAATAGCCCTAGCCATATGCAGCCCTCAACCAAGTAACCCAAATAGCAGGATAAAAAAGGGGAGGCCCTGGTGTGATCATTGTCGAAAACCAAGGCATACCAGAGAAGCATGTTGGAAGCTCCATGGGAAACCAGCCGACTGGAAGCCCTCACACTTATCTCATGAAAGTCCACATCCTCAACTAATGAAAATGGCACTTCTGAACCAATTCTCTTTAACAAAGAGCAACTTGAACTTCTACAGAAGATGATTAGCCAATCCATTGGCTCTTCCACTGTTGCTGTCGGATCCCTGGCTCAGAAAGGTAATTTCTCAAAAGTCTTAAATGGTTACAGGGAAAGAAACAATATTTGGATTATTGACTCGGGAGCATCAGATCACATGACAGGTGATAAGACTCTACTTACTGAGTTTAAACCTTGTAAAGAAAATCACTCAGTCAAGATTGCAGATGGGTCTATTTCAAAAGTAGAAGGCTATGGTTCGGTTACAATTTCTGAGACTTTGTCACTTCATTCTGTCTTACTTGTACCAAAACTTAATTGTAATCTACTGTCAATCAGTAAACTCACCCGAGATAAGAATTGTGTTGCTCAATTTTTCCAAAATTTTTGTGCATTTCAGGACTCTGATTCGGGAAAGATGATTGGCAGTGCTGAGGTGTACTCAGGACTCTATCTCCTCAAGGACAACCATCCTTTGGAGGAACAAGCTCATAAAGCAGTCTCTTTGAGTCAGTTTCACAAAAGTTGTTTTTCCGCAAATAAGGATAGTGAGATTATGTTATTACACTATCGACTAGGACATCCTAATTTCTTTTATCTTGAAAAACAGTTTCCTTCATTATTCAAAAATAAAAGAGGAATGAATCTTCAGTGTGAAGTGTGTCAGTTTTCAAAACATATTCGTAATTCTTATCGTAGTCGTCCATATAAAGTAACACATCCTTTCTCAATGATTCATAGTGATATCTGGGGACCATCTAATATCAAAAATATCACTGAGGCATGATGGTTTGTATCTTTTGTTGATGATCACACAAGAATTACTTGGATATTTCTCATGAAAGAAAAATTTGAAGTAGGGCAAATTTTCAAAAATTTCAATGTCATGATCCAAAATCAATTCAAAACACAAATCCAAATTTTCAAAACAGATAATGCAAAAGAATATTTTAAATCTGTTTTGAGTAATTATTTGAATAGCCAGGGCATAATTCACCAGAGTTCTTGTGTTGATACCCATGAACCAAATGGGATTGCTGAAAGAAAGAATATGCACCTCCTTGAAGTTGCTAGGTCGTCGATGTTCACTACTGATGTCCCAAAACACTTCTGGGGAGAAGCTGTCCTTACGGCAGCCTATCTTATCAATAGAATGTCATCTCGTGTCCTAAAATTCCAAACTCCAAGTCAAGTTCTTCTTAAAACATATCCAAAAAGTCGCATAATCTCCACCATTCCTCCAAAAATATTTGGATGTTCAGCCTTTGTTCATATATATCCTCATAACAAGAACAAACTTGATCCCAAAGCAATCAAATGCATTTTCCTTGCGTACTCACCAAGTCAAAAAGGGTACAAATGTTACTCTCCTATCACAAGAAGATTCTATAACTCAATAGATGTTGCTTTGTTTGAGGAACAACCCTATTACACTAAAACCAATGTTCGGGGGGAGAGCACATCAAAAGAACATCAGTTTTGGAATATCATTGAAAACCAACAACAACCTTCTCCTGTCGAAAGTCCATCTCAAGTTCCTTCCATTGTCGATGAATCTCCAAATCTTGTCATCGAGTCTCCTGAATCTCCTGTCAAAACTCTACCTCAAAATCCTCCCGACCCTTCTGCCAAAATTAGTGAGCTTCGTGTTTACTCCAAGGGAAATTGGCACCAAAAGGAGACGGCACAACGAGCACTTCCTGAGCAACTCCATGAGTCTGAACCAACTCCAAGTTCATCTGAAATATCACAAGATAACTCTCATTCGGACTCTTCTCCTCATAAGTCACCTGATAATCGGCCCATTGCCTTAAGAAAAGGAGTGAGATCTTGCACAAATCATCCTATTTATACCTACTTATCTTACAGAAGATTATCTCCAGAATATAGT